TTTACATTAAATAAGGCTCGTCCATGATGAACTAGTAAAAGGATACTAAATATGAATTTATTATTTTTCAAACTTTGAAAGTATTTATTATAACATGCAAGATACATGGTGTTGAGAGAATGTTTGCTTCGTGGTTTGTTTATTTCTTCAATCAGTGCAATGTTTGTCATTCAAAAGCCAGCTTTATTGTCTCTATTGCATAGTTCAGCTATGTATCTGGAAATTGTTTGCAATAATGTGCTTTCTATAGGAACATGGATATAGGTTCTCCATGTGTGGATTGAATTTGAACTGCTGGCCTCACTTTCGACTTGATTTTCTCAGAGGGACAAGGTGCATTTTTATCCAAATGCCAATACCTTGGTGTTATTTTTTTTTTTTTGAAATAAAAAGTGTGAACTATATTATCATGGTACCAAACAACCGGGGTAACTGCCCCTATACATAAAACTTCACAATATAGTTAGTGAGTCAATGACATGCCCAAAATGCACATCACTAATCATGTCATGCCCAAACAATAAAAATCCAAAATAATGCATTCACATATCTCTCAACCTATACAAATCAGTAGGTTTATCCTCAAAAGTTCTAGAATTTTCTTTCCTTCCAAAGAATCCAAAACAAGGATAATGGAATAATATATTTCAACTTTCTAGCCTACTTGAACTTTGGTGTTCTTACCTGCTACTTTCAGTTCTGTACAAATCATCTGTAAATGTGAATGAGTATATCTACATACTATTAGATATTTAAACATTAAGGAGGGTTTTCTGGTTGATTTGTTGCTTTCAGTGATTTTCACGTCTCTTCTTTTTCTGCTTCCATTTCTTTTCGGGTGAAAAGTTCTGTTTTATGCCATGTGACTATTGATCCTTTGATTGGGTGTGTAGGTTCAATCCAGGTCAACTTTTAGCAGTGGACCAAGATATGATGAATCTGAATTTGATAATTTATCCCAGAGATACAGGACTAATGAACTGCCAGAAACATGGTATAATCAGTTCATTGAGCATTATAGAGTTAGCAGACCATACAGACTGTCACATGGAGACCGAGAATCCGATAAGCGCACGCCTGAGGACATGTCTGCTTATCTCAGGCATGTTGAAAAGCATAAGAGAAGGCGTATAGCATTTCAGGAGGATCAATCAGGCTTTGGAAATTCTGTCCTGGAGAATAGATCGGGAACACAACCAAGTTCTACTTTAGATGGCAATAATTCAGATGATGATGTGCCATTTTTACCTGAAACGATGTTTACAATGAATTGTGTACCTGATAGTGCCCTTCCATCAATAACTAGAGCACAAGATAACCGGAAAGTTGAATTTTATGGAGTTCTTGATACCCTACCGCAGGTTACAACCAAGAGTCCTGTTATGATTGAGAGGCTTGGTATAATGCCTGAGTACCTTAGCATGGAACAGAGGGGAAGTCTACGTCGTGGGAAAACTGACAGGAGAAGCCTCAGTGAAGAGCAAGCATTGCAGATGTCTCAAAAAGTAATGGTTCGCATGCTGAATAGTGCAGGATTTGAAAGTACAACTGAGGTTCCCCTGGAAGTTTTATCGCAGCTGCTTAGCCATCATCTTTGTAAACTAGGACGCATCTTGAAAGTTCTCACTGATAGTTACAGAAAGCAGTGTTCGGCAATTGAACTTCTAAAGATGTTTCTTCAAACAGCAGGATATAGGTGAGTTTGATAAGCATTTGCAGGACACACACGCACACACACACACACACACACACACACACACACAGAGACACAAGTGTTTTTCTCTCCCTACCAAATTTCTAAAGTAGCATCACATTCCATTATAAACTCACAATAGAATACAAAGAATTAACATGATCTTGATTTGGCAAAAAAAAAGGCATTATTTTCTTTGTAGGTGATTGGCCTTTAAGGAATCAATTATGTTGCAAAGACTATTATGGAAAAAAAAAATTCTTAAGGGGCATGGAGCCTCTAAGAAAATTGACTGCAGCCTTTCATGCAATAAGAAGTTGTTTCCTGGTTCTGTTGGAAATTGAAGTCAAATGCATTTAGTGTTGGTTTTTCTTTCTTGGTTTTCAGTCTGGTCTAATTCAAGGAATCCAGTTTATATAGTTTGTTGAAACTGACTTTGTGTCCGATACAGGAAAAATTGTTTTGGCTCAATGATTCTATTGTAGCAATTATCTTTTTTGTTATCATTCAGTTATCACTTTCACTTATCTTGTACACCATATACGAGTACTTAAAGGCCTTGTGCTTCTTTGACTTTTGAATTGAAACTTTGGAATATGAAGATGTGTTTCTTTGATATAAAATTGAAACTTTAGAATATAAAGACATCTATTATTGTGGTTTTTGAGGGCACTACTTGGGAAGTGCTTATTTGTTAAGGCCAGTGCCAGTAATGATAATTTGTTGATGATTTTCACCTGAGAGCTTGTCCTTGGACATGTTCTAGGATTCTCTTTTTTCTCTATTTGGAGATGGTGCAGTAAGCTTAAACTTACAACACCAATTACAAGCATCAGTTTTTACCCTTTAGAATATTGATTTTATTTAAAAAATAAAAAGTATAAATATATTCATAGAGCACCAAGGGGGTGCAACCCATGTACAAAAGTATTACATATTAGTTACGCAATCAATAATATACCCGAAATCATTCACCTTATACACGTCATGATGAAAATTAAAGACCCAAAAAGATATAACCATCTATCCCTAATTTTAGCAAAGTCATTTTCTATTTCTTTGAAAATCCTTCCATTCCTTTCCTTCCACTAGAATATTGATTTATAGAAAATAAAAAGTTGTAAAAATCATGGTTAGCCTTTGAAGAATTATTACTTACAATCACCATTGTAAGTTAGGGGTTACTGAAACATACCCTTCCCCCTCTCAGTTGTATATGCTAGGCTGTATGTTCCTATGCTTTGATTTTTCATTTATAAGGTGTATGCTCTTTGTATTCTTTCCCCGTTCATGACATCTATGCTAATTTTGATCCATGCTTCCTATTTCCTGATCTCTTTTCTGTTGACATTCTTTTTCTGTTACTTACCTGAAGCGACTTTCTTATTGCTCCCAGCAATTTTGGAGTCTTGGCGGATCTTGTTAAGGATAATACCAGTATCTTTTCTCAGCAAGCTCATCAACAAGCAAATGCAATCCAGTCAGCAATGCAGTCACAGCACCAGAATCCTCTTCGACTAGCCCAACAAGTATGTTCTATTATTTTCTATTCTCCCAGGGACCCATCTTGATGTGTTGTATTTTACTTCTCATCTGTTGGCATGATCAAGTCTTATTCATTCTACCTTCAGGGGTATTTTTGAGATGCGTGAAAGTCAACCAGGCAGTAATTACTGTGGTTTTCTTTAATTAGTACCCTAGAGGGTGGCATTAACAAAAGGCACAGGATGAAAATTTGGGCAGCTGTGGCTTTTCTGTGTTTTCTTAGCATATCCATGGAGCGGAAGTTATCAGTGGGGTTCTGATTTTTGTTCCCTAACTTGGTGAAGTTTTACTGAGCAGTTATATGAGAAACATGAGATGATCTGGTCTTCTTAAGGTTTTAATGTCATCGCATTGTTAGAAATTTAAGTAATATAAAATTTTTGGTGTATTCGCAGATGCCAAGACAAATGCATCCACAGATGCAGCAAATGGTGCAGCTTCCAACTTTGACTATGCAGCAGAGGCAACAGTTAGAAAGATTTTGTAGACGTCAAGCTTCTGCTTCTCACCCTGCTATGGATATTGATAAAGATCGGCCTTTGGTACAGGTCAAGCTTGAAGCATCAGAATTGCCGTTGGATGGTAACGCATTCAACGCTATAAATAACAGCCATCAACAAATGCAGTTCCAGCAGCAGCAAATTGCTGTAATGTCAAATCTCCATGCTGCCCAATCCAGTAGCCAGTTTAGGCAGCTGGCATCTATGCAAATTCCTCAAATGCAGACACAGTAAGGAAAACCCAAAAAAGGATGCACTCTATGAGAAGAGTTGATTTACAACAAGTGACTTAATGGAACTTTGTCCTTTTTTTTTTTGGCCTGCAGGAACATGAGCATTGTTAGGGCTCCGCCAGTGAAGGTTGAAGGGTTTCAGGAGTTGATGGGCGGAGACCATTCGTTGAAGCATGACTCAGAAGAGAATAAGCTGGCCTCTTCCTCTGGTAAATAGTTATACGACTAATTGTTTATGATATGTATCCGACCTAGATTATACTGACCTAGGGAGTTTAATGGCAATTGTCCGTTATTTTTGTTGTTCATTCTCTAATTTAGTCGTACAACAATGACTGCAACTGCGAAATGGGTCACAAAGTCCGTGTCTTGCAAAAACACTGTAGGAATTTGAGGTGCTCAATGAGGAACAATTGTGATTATGGAAGTCTGTTTCAATGTTACTGAGACTAGACCTAGTTTGGGAGTCTGACTATGGAAGTCTGTTTCAATGTCATGGGACACCTAATTTAAGAATCCGTGTGGGTTGTAGAAAATGAAAGGGTACTGGGGAAGGAGGAATAGGGAAATTTTGGTCTTCATATTAAAATATCAGTTATTTGGTCTGAGATATTTTAGGGTAAATTATAACTTCATAGGTGTAGTTCAACCATTCAGATGCTATGCCTGGTTTGATCTTTATTTAATTTTTAATATATATAATTTGCAAAAAGTAACGAGTTTTTAATATTACCTACTTACAATATATTAAATTAATTTTCGATATTTTACATTTATTATAATTCAATTTTTTATATATATTTTTTTAATTTTAAACATCTAATTTTGATTTTATTTTGTAATAAAAAAATTAAAATGATTAAATTATATTTCAATACTTAATTTAAGAATATAATTTTAATTATTTAATTAAATTAATAGATTAATAAAAACAAAAAAATATTTTTAATTTCCCAATTATCTAATAATTTCGTGCTACAATTTTGAATTAAAAAAAATATTATTAAAATATGGTAGAAATTAGTCAACTGAACTATCATTATGTTTGATGCTCCCAACAATTTACTTTAGTGGCCGCCACAGGTGCTCTACTTTACAAACATTTAATAGTTATGGCATATAAATAATCAAAATTTACATTTAAAAATTTATATAAATACTCGTATACATATTATCTTATTAAATGATTATAATTCTACTGCATGTTATAAGAATATGAGTTTTAAGTCAGAATTATGTACATAATTTTAGAAAAAGAAAAAAAAAAAGTAAAAATAACAAACAAAATGAATTGTTAATTTTTCTCCAGTCGATAAAACCCTACTTTTCTAGAAAAAAGATGCAATGAGATCTCATCCAATAAAAACTATGCTATATATATATATATACATATACATGTGAAATAGTTAAAAAGTTTTGGTAGTTGAAAAACAAAAATATAGCACCGATTACTTTGAAATGATAACAATTATTTTCAATATTTTCTAAAAAATTACATTAATTTATTTGTAACTCTATATATATATATATATGTATCATAATACATTTATGAATTTATTTACTTGCGCATTTTTCTACTTGTACATGTATAAATGAACATATATACGTCTCTACATATCTAAATATACGCGAACTTATACATTTGTTACATGCATCTAATACCCGTACGCTTATATATATATATAGAGAGACTGACGCATACATAGACATGCATGCATGTACTATAATAATATGTGCAATAATAATGTATATACGTACATATCGATAACTACTATATACATGCATTATGCATATATCTATAATATTTCGAGTATGAAGAAAAGATTTAAAAAAACAGAGTAAATATATCTATCTATATGTATATATATATATATATGTCAACCGAAGCAGCTAAATTTTCTTCTTCCTTTTCTCAACCAAAATAAATAAATATCATCCGTTCGTGCAATTTCAACAAAGTGAATGATTATTATTAGTATAGAAACGGCACAACTACGTTTCTCTTTATATACATACATAACCAGAAACTCTACCATTTCACAATGGATTCCCGGCCAATCTCCATTGCTGCACCAAAAAAGCTTCACATAGCCATGTTTCCATGGCTAGCCTTCGGCCACATCATGCCCTTCTTACAACTTGCCAAGCTCATTGCCCAAAAGGGTCACCACGTTTTCTTCATTTCCACCCCTAGAAACATCCATCGTCTCCCTAATCTCCCTCCGAACCTTCTCCCGTTCATAACTTTCGTCAAGCTCCCGTTACCCGGCGGTGACGGAAACCTGCCGGAAAACGCAGAGGCAACCAGCGATATCACTCTAGACAAAATGCCTTATCTCAAGAAGGCCTACGATGGACTGCAACACCCCTTGAGTCTCTTCCTGGAATCCTCTTCTTCTTCTCTGGATTGGATTATCTACGACTTTGCTTCCTTCTGGTTGCCTCCCATGGCGGCTAAGTTCGGAGTCCGACGAGTTTTCTTCAACATCCTAACTGGGTGGACGATGTGTCTGTTTGGGTCAACGACTGACGCCATGGTCAACGGGGAGGATCCAAGGACTCAGCCGGAGCATTTCACTGTTACTCCCAAATGGGTTACATTTCCGACGAAACTAGCCTTCCCCCTTCACGATGCCAAGATGTATATTTCTTCTGCGAATCAACCCAACGTTTCAGGAGTTTCGGATCTGTACCGTCTCGGCTCGGTCATTCAGGGCTGTGATGTTTTGGCGTTAAGAAGTTGCATGGAGCTTGAACCAGAGTGGTTGCACCTAGTGGCCGAACTTCACCGGAAACCAGTGGTTCCACTCGGACTGTTGCCGCCGTCGGTTGATGATCAGGCTGAGAAAGATGACTCGTGGGTTGAAATAAGTAAGTGGCTGAACCAGCATGAGAAAGACTCAGTTGTTTACGTAGCACTCGGAAGCGAAGCGGCACTGAGTCAACGAGAACTCACTGAACTGGCGCTTGGGCTGGAGCTATCTGGGTTGCCATTCTTCTGGGCATTAAAGATAAGTTCAAGACGAGCCGATTTCGTAAAATCTGCACACCCATTGTTAGAGCTGCCAGAAGGGTACGAGGATCGAATCAAGGGACGAGGGATTGTCTGGGCGAGTTGGGCACCCCAACTCAGGATACTGAGTCACGACTCAGTTGGGGGATTCTTGACTCATTGTGGGTGGAGTTCGATCATAGAGGGAGCCATGTTTGGACGTGCATTGGCAATGTTGCCTTTCATGGTGGATCAAGGATTAAATGCGAGAGTGATGGAAGAGAGAAAAGTCGGCGTTTTGATTCCAAGGAATGATGAGCAAGACGGGTTGTTTACGAGGGATGGCGTAGCAGGGTCGCTGAGGCTGGTTATGGCGGATCAGGACAAGGAGGGAAGTAAGACTGGTTACAAGGAAAACGCGAGGAAGATGGCGAAATTATTTGGGGATAGAGAGCTGCATGAAAAATACATGGATGGTTTTCTCAAGGAACTTCTTGTTTAATCCCTATCAGCGTAGATTACATTAATTAAGTATGGCCAATGTGATTAACGAAGTAATTAGTACGAATAATGTTGGGAGTTTGATCGTGTTAATCTAATTTTTAGAAAATAATGTTGAACATGTAATTATTGAAATATATAATTCTTCTATACAAAAATATTTAGTAGTATAGAAAAACAAATTTAAAAATATCATAATAAGCGTACCTCCAAGATTAAGCATCAAAGAAGGCACCATTGCAGCACCTAGTATCTCCAAACTGACAGTAACGAAAGGGAGTGGCGCATCTTCTCCAAAGACCAAAGATTGTAACTTTGGCACAGCCCAACAATAAAGCTGATAAGAGATGCTGAGTGCTTGACTGGAGTCTGTTCGGCTGACAATTTTGATTCTCCGAACCATTTTGGGCTCAGCCAAGCAGCGGATGAACCTTGGACTGCTTGCACTGGCTTCTCTTGAGATTTTAATGCCAGGAAATGTTGTCTATGAACCACCTGGTATGCTGTTAAAAACCCCGGAAATAAAACGTGTCTTAGAGGCTTCAGATTCGGCTTCTGGAAGGAGAGGCCTGCTGAGATCAGCAACTGACCCTTGTTCCTCAATTTCAATCCCTTTCTCTACAACCTCGTAATACCTCCATAGAAACAAGGATAACAGCAACCCACTGAGCAAAAGAGACATAAGACACTCCTCTGGAATGGCAGTGTTGGGCAAATGGGTTATCTTGGGTATGACAAACAAAACCTACAATAGCAAGGGGAGATTTCCAGTATTGCCAAAAGCAGTCATGATAATAGTGAATCTGCTGAATTCAGGAGGCGGGCGGCATATAAGTACCACCAAGTATCCAAAAAAGGAACCAATAATTGTATTGATCAATACAGTGATCGGTATGAACCACCAGTGTGAAATGTTCTTCAGTTAAATGCTGTTCACCACTTCAGTGAAGTGTGAAATGTTCTTCAGTTAAATGCTGTTCACCACTTCAGTGAAGATCACACGAGGCAAAAAATAGAGCACAAACAAGCTGTTTAGAAGCTTATATGTTGTTTTTCAGACCATCCCACTTTTGGTTGTGCAAGAGCCAACTATTGTCAGGCATAGAAGCTTCAGCAATGACACAATGCTACTTAGCTTATGCTTGCCCCGGGGAATCCACATTATTTGCATAAACTCCCCTAAAATAAACTGACATTTTCCTTTCAGCTGCTACTCTTAAAAAAACCTCATTTCTTCAACATAAACCAAAAAAAAAAAAAAATGAAACACATAATTCGCAGAAACTCAAGGCATATATCTACTAAGTTCGCTGTAGAGGAAACTAAGAAAGCTCACCCAACCAAATTGTGACACAAGAACATTCAGGAAAATAATTGTTCGATTGATCTCCTAGTAAGCTTACAAAAAGGGCAGGAGGAAAAAAAAAACAATAAGCGTGACCCGGAAAGACATATATGAGTCTGGTAAAATACAGGGAAGAATATGCTAAGCATTTGGTTTGGAAATATTTAAATATAGTTTAAGGGAAGGAGAAAGAAAAAAAATGATTATATAGCACAAATCACAGCATAGAATTCTATCAATGAATTAATCAATTCTTGTTAAATGAATTCTAAAAGTTACCTTAATTATAGTCGATAGGTCATAACTCACACATATATGATGTTAATAATTACATACCTCGTTTATAATAATCAAGATATCAGGAGCTTATCCAGCCCGAATGATCCTACTCAAGTACAACTGTGCCTCACTCACATTCAATACCTTACAGTATGCATTAACCAATGTATTAAGCGTATCACTTTCTGGTGAGAGCATGTCATTTAACCATTCTTAATAAACACTTTATGTGATCAACCAACTCAAATCTAGATGATGACATTAAGATGTGATTAACACATAACAGTGAGATTAAGATTAAATTCACCACATCACCCTTCTTCAAATTTCTTAACAAATCCAAACTAACAAGAACCATTGTCAATTAAATTTCAGGATTTAAATCTTCAAATTCGTGATCTTACTCACATAAAGGATAAATGAAATGGTATAATGAGAATGTTTAACAGTGAGCAATATGAGCAAACAATGCATTTGAAAGAGGAGTCCAGTGACCTCCAGTGAGAGAAACCAAGGGTGGTGTAGGAATCGAGATTGAAGATGAAAAGGGAGGAGACCCAGAACGGGAATACGGATGGGATGAAATCTTTGAGCGAGGGACTCTTCTCCCATACTGATGGGAAACAACGGATAAGAAGAGGCGTAAAATTTCCAGTTGCCCAGAGTCCATTTCAAGAGATTATGGTAGCAATTTGGTTGATGATAAGGAAGATGAAAAAGAAGACAAAGGTTTCTTGTAGAGATGAAAGAGTGTCTGACCTAGAGAGTTGATGGTGGCTGCCTGATTTTCAGATGGAGACAGGCGACATGAATGCTAGTTAGTGATCAAACTCCTTGGCGGAGTCCATTGATTAGTAAATTAAACTCAAGAAAAATAATTCTAATAAATAAACAAAATCAGCACCATTTCGTTGTCATTTTCAGACCTGCAATATGTTCGTGGTTCTCATTATAATTGTAATGAAGAAACCTTCTCACCGCAACAACGATCACTACATAGACCAGCATATTTCCAAGCAGCAGAAAAATTAAATTATAACTCAGGGACTCCCAATTAATTCAAACAAAATCTCTCGCATTTCTTCATCATACAGGATCAGTAAAAGATAGATTTGATACTGCCGATTATATTTCAACATACCTTCAAACCAAGTGAAGACATAAAATCAACAGAAGAACCGAATGCGATACATGAAAAAGACGAAAGTAAACGAAATACCTGTATGAAGATCTTGACGAGGCAGAATCCGGGCGGCCGGCTTGCACCGGTAATGGCGGTGGTCCGAGTTATCTATCGGGTCGGATTCAATTGTTGATTAATTTCAGCTTAATTTTTCAACGAAACTAAATCAAGTTTAGTTTTCAAACACAATTTTTTACTTGATATTAATTATTCATATAAATCTTATAAGATAAATAAAACATCATAATTAAACATATTTTTAATTTTTAATTTTTTTATTAATTATTCATTTATGTACATACATATTTTTTAAATTTTTTATTATCTAAATATATTTATTTTAATTTTAAAATATAATATATTATATTAATACATAAACTTTAATTTTCTATTGATATAGATATAATTATATTAATATTTATGTAAAACAAATAATTGAAACATACTCGTATCCAATAATTTGTAAATCTAATATAATAAAAAAAAGATAAAAAATATTTAAACCTAACCCAAATCTAAAGCCGATTTGGTTCGCTCTCAATACATTAAATTACGTTTAAATTTGGTAAAATTTATCTTTAAATCCGTTCTATTATCATCTTTTATTTAATATTTTAAATCACGAATGTTCATAAACTAAAAAAATTCAATTGGCTATCAAAATTAAGTACTTTTGCCTAGTAGCTTTTAACTTTTATTCATATCTACAATATATTACATACATGCTAAGATAATAATTTGGATGACTATGATCTCTTTCAAATGTAATTATACATTATCATTTTACTCACTTTATTCTTTTTTTCACCTTTAAATTTAAATTAATCTTCTCGTATATGTAATTTCTATAATTGATCGGTAGCTTTATGTTATTGCATTTAACTTTTTCTCATTCGTAACCATTAAGAATCTTTTATAACATTATTCGTTTTCTCTTTTTTAATGATAAATAAAGAATATGAATGTGGACATACGTGTCGTCGACCTAATTCAAAATACATTAAAAAAAAATGCGTACGCATATGAAGAATTTGTTAAATTTTATTATCTTTGGTTATATTAGTGTACAATATATAATAAATAATAAATTAAATTATTTTTTTAAAATAATATTTTATTAAAAATTAAAATGATAAATTTAGATATTAGTTTTCGCATCTCATATATAATAACGATGTTTTAAACTCGAACACGTTTAATTTGACTTAGCTGAATATGATTTAATATAATTTTTTTTTTTAAAAAATTAATTCAAATACGAATTTAACATTATAAAATTTGTCTATATCTGACGTATCAAATTTAAGTTAAATAACTCACAAATTCGATATAATTTGAATTTTTTTTTTAAGAGAGAAAATTTTAAATATTTTGAGACGTGTTGTTCGAATTTAATTTGAAAATTTTGGTTATAACTTATTACTTAATTGGCCTATATGTATATGTGTTTGGAAGTCTATAAACTTTTTCAAAAAGTCCATTGCTGTCTCTTTCCGTATAGACGAATTTTTAATTTTTAATTTTAATAATTATGTTTAAAACATGATTAATTAGTAGATTAAAGTAATGGTAATGAAAGAAATGCAATGGATTAAAAATACGAAATTATTAATTTATATAATATTTATATTATTACTGTGTATCTTAAATGATTTGAGTAAACATAAAAATTAATTATTTTGTATTTAAAATAAAATAATGTTATTATGACTACGTTTATAAGATTTAGAGATTTAATTATTAGTTTATAAATTTTTAAAATTAATTTTTTAAAATATTAATATAATTTTTTATAAAAATAATAATTTAATATAAGCATGTTCTCTGTGAAACACCTACTAAAAAAAATTCGTTAATTTATTTATTTTTAATTATTTTATTAATTAAATTAAAAAATAAACCAAAAAAAGAGGTATTATGAGAAATCATTTATTTTCCCCACATCCTAGTCAGGCTGGCGAGGATGTAACGGGCTGGAATTATCAATTTTGTACGTGCCCAATGGAATTTCAAGACCTCGTTTGGCTCTCGTTTAACAGTAACTGACAAAAAGATTGTTATATGGTTTCATATTTAGTGTATCCAAACAATCCCGGATTCGGTACGCACGCCTCCTTATTTTGATACGCCCTTTGCGCGCTTTGTCTTCTCTTCTCTCTCTCTCTATCTCATCTCTCTCTCTCTCTCTCTGTGGCAGTTGGGGTCAGCAACTTTCGGACTCAGTGCTGTTGGAATATTCTTTGCGTTTACGTTGGGAAAACAAAGAAGTAGAGAGGAGAGGAAGGGAGGAGGAGAGGAAGGGAGGAGGAGAGGGTGAGGGCGGGGGAGGAGGAGAGAGTAGAAACAGCTCAGCAGAGACGTTGTGGAATCGATGATGCAGAACCACAATGGTTCCGGAGGGGTCAAGCAGAACCGGCGAAAGAGGCAGACGCAGGAACGGCTGGGTGCCAACATGATGCCTGGACAGGTGGTGTTCCGATTAATCTGTCACGTATCGGTTATTGGAGGGGTTATCGGGAGTAACGGGACCATCGTCTCGCAGCTCCGCAGAGAGACTCGCTGCAAAATCCACTGCGAGGAGTCCGTTGCCGGGTCGGACCACCGGGTCATACGTATCGCCGGGTCCGGATCAATCTACAAGCGTATTGTTCTGAACGGCGGAGTCAGGGATAGCCTCAGTGAGGACGAAGAGAAGGTGGAGTGTGACGTGTCGAGCGCACAGGAGGCGTTGATTAGAGTTTTCGAGAGACTGTGGACTGTGGAGGCGGAGAACGACTGTGGTCGTGCTAGTAAGGATGAGGTGTATTGCGGTTTATTGACCGATACGACACGGATTGGTGAGGTTGTCGGGAGAAGAGGCAAGAACATCATAAGAATGCGGAGAGAGACCCGTGCTAAGATCAGGATTCTTCCCCCACCGCAGTGTGCTGCTAAGGACGATGAGTTGATTCAGGTTATTGTTCTTCTTCTTTTTCTTTGGTAAGAGAGAAAAAAAAGGTAAAAAGAAAAAGTTACTTTTCTCGCCATGGATGGCATTGTTTGTTCAGGAGAAAGATACGCGAGAAACGCAAACATGGATGAAAATGAACAATAAGTTAAACTGTATCGAGCTTATCCCATTTTCTTTTTATTTCTTCTTTTAAGTGAAGTAGTCTTCGTTTGCTTTCTTTTATTGTTTGATTTGATCTTACATTGCGTTTTTTTGCCAATTTTTCTGATACTTTCAACGTGAGTTTCGGTGGAGAAATTCAGAGCTTATTTTGTTTTCCAATAGAGTTTCTAGGTAGACCTCTGAAGGGAAAAATAATGAAGTTCTAGATAATGGTTGTAAGTTATACGTTATTCATCTTCCTCAGGCTAAAGTGTTGGGGAATATAATTGCGAAAGTCAATCTTGCACAGAAGTATCTTATTGAATGCTTCCTATGTGCTGATTATCATTTTATGCTTCTCTAAAAGGTAATGAAATTTGATTTCATACATCTTGCCGGAGCCAGTTGGTTCAAGAGGTAAGATTGCTTCGTAGTGAGCTTATGAACTGTAGTTCAATTCCCCTCTGCAGTACAAAGGAACAGCATTTCAACATCTTGGTATCTTGTGTAGAAACTAGAAATTTCTTTCTAATTGTTAGTCAAACGTTACTGTTCTCAGGGGAGGATTATGTCAAGGCAAACATAGACAGAGACGTAGCTCCACCACTATCGGCAGAGCTAGATAGAGATTTTTCTGCTTGTTCTTTGTATATGGATCTGCTAGTTTTGGAGATGATGCTAATTAGGGAAGTTCATATTCTTTGCTTTCTTTTCTTGAAAATTTGTTTATCTTATGGCAGATTACTGGGCACACTTTGGCTGTAAAGAAGGCCTTGGTTGCCGTCTCTGGTTGTCTTCAAGAAAGTCCACCACTAGACAGGGGCCCAACATCTTTAAGAAGATCTATTGAGAAGTCTCATAATGACCCCTCTATGGATCCGCATGCTGAATTTTTTCCGCACCTTATTTCGTTTTCTCCACCTATGACTGAGAACTCGGCAAATACCGCTTCAAGTCTGCATGTTTCGTCAACTGGTGTTGGAGGAGACCCCAATGTAGAGATGAAAACTACAGAAAAAGAAGTTGTATTTAGAATGCTTTGTTCCAATGGTGCAGCTGGTGGAATAATTGGCAAGAGAGGGGCCATAGTGAGAGGGCTACAGCATGAAACAGGTGCTTCTATTGTGTTTGCACCTCAATTGACTCAATCCGGTGAACGAATTGTCACAATTTCTGCTTTTGAGGTTGTTCCTCAGTCTGTTGGTTTTGTGTGTTCTATTCTAGTATTAGTATTTACGAATCTGGGGAATGGATTACATCATCTCTGTATTTGAGGTTGGTCACAGCGCCAATATTTTGTATGCCTATCATTTCTCAAGTTTGTGGCACCTATCTTTCATGCCTTCATAGATAGCCAGACTAGGCATGCAGTTGCAGTGTCCATGTATAATATGCATTGTTGATTTAGGTTTGACTTTATCTCTTGTAGAATCTGGAATCATGGAACTCTCCTGCACAAAATGCCGTTCTTCTTGTCTTTGCAAGAGGGGTTGAATCAGACATCGAAAAAAGGCTATCATCAGGCTTGGGCAAGGATACTATGGTAACTGCAAGGCTTCTAGCTGCATCAGAGCTAGTTGTTTGCTTGACTGGAGACAGAAAGAGGGTACTTTCAGAAATGATTGAGGTGACTGGTTGTGATATTCGAATATTGGGAGGAGACCAGGTCATGGACTGTGCCTCAGAGAATGAAGTAGTAATACAGGTGAAATTAGTACCATCATTATTGTTTGTGAAGCTAAATTCCGTGTAAAAAAGGTCTCAGGCTTTTCTGGTTCAGTTTTTATTATATTCCTTTAAAATGTTATATTATTCATAGCTATGCCAATTTAACTCTTACTTTGAAATCCTTGGAGATAAATGTTTGTTCCTACTTGGCTAAGTAGTTAAACATAGCTATACTAGTTTGGTGTATTATTTGCTTTCTGACTTTATTCATTTCTCTTGAATTCCATTTCTTCTTTTTTCTTTAGAATTGAATGGGCATTGGTATTCCCCGAGCTTTACTCGATATCAAATCCTTTCCTTGGGAGATTTAAAAGCGCTCTCTCCAATATTAGCGGAATACATTTGGAATTACACTTTTTGACATACAACTCACAGTAACTGAGTCCAGTTGTTGAAAACAATGAAGCATAGTTTTTTGCCAATTAGACTAAGTTTTGTTAGTTATTGGATTTCTAGCCAAACATGAAATTTTTACTATTTCTATTCTTGGGGACAAATAGAACCTAAGAGTTCTTAGTGCTAAATCAAAGTTCAGTTGACTCTAATGCAAAAGAACTAGAACTTTTGAGTGTGCAAAATGAATTCTATTAAGCACAATGGCCATCTCTATTACCAATTTAGTTACCACTTCCTACTTAAATTTAAATCTCTTGACTTATATATGTTACTTTTGATTTTGATCCGCATTATTTCTAATTCTGCACAGAATCATTCTGGTTCTATCTTTCTGTCTATTGTTATCTCGTGTTAAGTAATCATTCAATGCCCAAACTTTTAGAGTTTTGGGGATTTTCTCATGATTGGATTTTCAAAATTGATAAAATCACTGAAGTTTTTCACATGTGAACTTAAAAATATGCAATATTTGCTTAGAGCTTGAGATTTCTAATGGGATATCTTTAGGCCTCTATTAAAATCTTTTTTTCTAATTCTATTAGTGATGAAGTTCTGATGCCATCCGATAGGAAATGCTAGTAAGCTGAAGATTTGTTTTGGCTCTACTGTTTTAGGGCCAAAGTTTGTACAAGATTTTAATAGCATCAAGGATAAATCGTTTCATTATTTTGGCTCTACTGTTTTAGGGTATAATATAGAATGTTTTAAAAATTTAGGTTATATTGTAGATATGCTAATTGACATGTAAGTTTTTTTTAAATGGGTGGTGCTCCCTTAGTACCTCACATTAATACATCTTCTCTTCTTTTATTTTGAAAAAAAAACTGAAGATTTGTTTAATTAATTGGTTCTTTTTGCAGATAAATGGTGGATATGAAAATGTACCGAAAGCTTTGTTTCAAGTTACTGCTCGACTGAGGGATAATCTTTTACCCATCGAGCTGCTTAATGAAGTGAGAACAAGGAACTGCTATGAAAAAGCGTGGAAAAATATGAATCCTGCATTTCACCAGTTGTCAAGTGTACCTCTTCATTCTAACCAAAATGATGTTTTGATACAAAAATTGGAGGATGGACTCTCTGAAAGCAGAGGTGCTTCTCTGTCACCGAAATTACAACTGTTAAAGGTAGAGGATTCTTTTCTTTCTTTTGGCAAATTTTAATTGCTTTTTCCTCATTTATTGAATAACTTCAGTATCAGGATCTCATTTTCTGTAAGTGCATAAAAATTGCAGGCTCCAGGAAGAGGCCATGCCCCATCAGTCACGTATGGCGGACAAAGCTCAAAAATCTATAGAGGGAGTTCAGAACTTGGGAGGTCATGGGATTTTCTTTTGCCCAACGAGGTGCTTAATGAAGTGGGAACAAAGGAACACTTATGCAGCAGTAAGGGAAACAACTTCTCCTGGTTTGCAACAATCGTCGGATCGATTTCTTGATCCTGATGAAGAGGATAATATAACACAAGGAATGGATCAGCTGGGAATCTCCAACAACATCGGATTTCCTTCTTCACCAAGGTTGCCGCTGAGGTCAGTGTTGCACGATATTTCGCCTTGAGAACTTCCCTGCCCAATTTTTCCTCTCTCTCTCTCTCTCTCGATTTTTTCATTTTCTTTTTTCAAATTTATTTCCTGCCTTTTGATATTATAGGTGGAAGAGAGATTAAAACATCCTATTTCATCTTTGGAAGTTGGAAGAGTCGTAATCAAGTAGTTTAGTGAGTTGTAGAGTATTATTTCTTTGGCTAAATGTGATTTTGATCGACTCTGAACAATTTTAGCTGATAAGCAAAGAGCTCGTTTACTTTATAGTTTATACCTGCTGACGAGGATGTACTTATTTAGTTTCCTACCATTCCATATGCCAGTTTTTTTTGGGTAAAGATATACCAGAACTTCAAGTCAGGTTATTTTTATTAATTTTTTTAATGATGTTTCAATGCTATTTTAGAGATCTTGCTTTACATCCTGCATAGAGTGGATGGGATCAATTAAAATTTTACAGGATGCTGGGTCCATTATCCTGGGTCATGACATTATTAGAGTGTAGAGGATTTTGGGTATATTGTTAATATTTTGACAAACTTGTAAATACTTTGTACATGTGGGTACCCCCTTGGTACCATTGATTCTTTAAAGCATTTTTGACCGTTTTACATTAAAAAAAAAAAAAATTTACAGGATGCTCATCCTCATTTAATTGATAGTTTGATCCATTATTTAAATTGTAGAGTTCATACCATCTTTATTTGTTTCTTCAGAAGAAAGAAAACTGCTGTAGTGAGAAATACAACTATAGAGATTCTCGTTGCTGAAAGTGTTTTTGGGGCTGTTTATGGCAAAGATGGTAGCAATCTGGATCGTCTAAGACAGGTGAGTCATCTATGCCACTTCAAAATGCCAGAATCACAGAGCAGACAACATTAATTTTGTGCCTTAGATAGTGATGAACTTAGAACTGCTTGGTTTGGTCAACTTGGCAGTTAGACATTCAGTACTGGCATTTTTAATAAAGTAGGTGCATAATCAGCTTAATGTAGGATGCCATAGGAAGTGGAAATTGAAGACTACCTTCAAGCAATAGATTAAAACAAGAGCAAAGTAGAGCTTCACTTTTATGCTTAACATTCAATTTTTTGTGATAGTTCTCTGTGAATTTAGGTTTGATTGTTTTATAGAAAATTTTTGGTTTTTTATAGAATACATATATGGAACTTTTAAACATGAAGATGTAGAATTAAATGCTAAATAAATTAAAAATAAAAAAAGCAAAAGAGTTATGCTGAACTCTCTTACTAATAAATACCCTAAGCCACTTTTTATATTTGTAATCTCTATCTTGAGTTCTATGTTAATGTAAATGAATCATGACTATATGAATCTATTCCCAATAGATTATCCTCAAACTAGGACATCCAAATTAGAAGAAAATCAGTAGAAGCTATAATTGCAGAATGTTATCTCCTAAATTAACATTTATTCGAATATAGAAATAAATCATTAATATGGTCCAAGTAATATAGGTCCAAGTTTTGTTTACGTCAAATTCCAATAAGATCCTCAGGCCTCACTTACCCATCATGTTGAAAGTTACAGGATATTAGTATAAAAGTTAATGAGTTTATGTTAAATAACAAAAAAATAAAGATACGGAACTTTCACAGAAACAAAAAGGTTTAACTCGCAAGATAGTCAAACTAGAGAAGTGAAACTGTAACTTATTCTTAGAGTCATACCTTTCTATTTTATTTTTAGTTCTTTTTATCTCTCAAATTTTTTGCCGTGAATTTAAGTTTCGGCCCTTGCCAGATTTCAGGTGCAAAAGTGGAAGTGCACGATCCTTGCCCTGGAGAAAATGATGGAATGGTCATTATATCGGGAAGTCCTGATCAAACCCGGATAGCACAAAGCTTACTGCAAGCCTTCCTCCAAGCCCACCAGTGATTATCCAATTACTAGTCGCCGCATATCTCTCATCGACAGCTAATTAAAAGACTTGAGAGGCGGCAAGATTTTCTTGCATACATTTGCATGACTTTGTTAGGTCGTGTTTTGTTTCTACCACTTCAGATCTTGAGATTCCTCTATAATGGATAGTAGCTAACTATAGGCAATTAATGTTAATATATAAACAGAATGGTTTTGCTTTTTGCTTCCTTTGCTGATGTTATTCAGCTTTTAGGTTAAGTCAGAGAGATATACAAATGCCTCCCAACCTGTTGTCAACCCGTTAAGAGTTGGGAGAAGAAGGATACACGACCTGTAAGTGGTGTGACATCTTTACCATGGAATTCAATATTCAGTCTTCTGTTTTTCTTTCTGGGCTGGGAATTGGATTAGAGGAGTATACATATATATATATATATATATATATATATATATACACACACATCTGTGTAGGCTCTTCTTTACATACTAAAGAAGGGAATTTAGACCAGACAGCAAATCATAAGGATATTGCCCATTGTTTTTTATTTTGTATCAAATCATTTTTCTACTAAATACATTAGTTTTATGAAAAAATCTTAAAATATTTAAAAGCCTCCTTATATGAGGTGCCGATTAGTCAAATGCTTAATTTCAGTTAAATATTTATGATATTTTAAAAAATATATAGAAAAACCTAATTAGTTAAATCAAGAACACAATAAATTTATTAGATATAGAGATAAAAATATTAAGAAGTTCGTATGGTAATCGAACTGTTCTATATATAATAGAAAAAGAAGCAAAGCCCAGGTCCATCTGGTGGCCTTCGTGTTCCACCTGAAATTCTGCCTCAACATAGAGGGAGCTAAGCTAGTGAAGAGATGCAGAGAAGTCACCACGGTGCTTCCGTCGTCTTCTCCAAAATTCTGAGGTTAACCCTGGTTTACAAAATCGCATTACCAGTCCTACATCAGCTTAACCTCTTCAAAGCTTTTAGTTCAAGCACTTATTCTCTGAACTTCTCTAACGCAAGTTCCTTGCGTACATACTCCTCCCTGACTAGACAATGCACCGAGGGTGGAAAATCCGTGATGGGTATCAAGAGAATTCAAGCTCACATGGAAAAATCCGGTTTTCCACTCCCAGTTTCAGGCAGTAAGCTTATTGATGCTTGCTTAAAACGCGGCAACATTGCTTACGCGCGTAAATTATTTGAGGAAATGCCCGAAAGACATATAGTTACGTGGAATTCCATGATTGCTTCTTATATTAGCCAAAAAAGGAGCAAAGAAGCTATTGAGCTTTACGTAAGAATGGTTATGGAGGGAGTTTCCCCTGATGAGTACACTTTGTCTAGTGTTTTCAAGGCCTTCTGTGATTTGGGGCTTGAATACGAAGGTCGGAGAGCTCATGGGTTGTCTGTCATTTTAGGTTTGGAGGTTTCGAATGCGTTTGTAGGCAGTGCTCTTGTCGATATGTACGCCAAGTTTGGTAAAATGAGGGATGCACGATTGGTGTCTGACAGAGTTGTGGAGAAAGACGTGGTTCTGTTTACGGCGCTGATTGTTGGTTACTTACAGCATGACGAAGATAGCGAAGCTTTGCAGGTTTTTCGAAGTATGATCTCTGAGGGGATTAGAGCTAATGAATATACTTTCGCCGGCATATTGATTGCTTGTGGGAATTTAGAGAATTTAGGTAATGGTAAGTTGATTCATGGTCTCATCACCAAGTCGGGGTTTGAGTCTGCTGTTGCTTCGCAGACTTCACTTCTTACTATGTATTCGAGATGCGGTTTGATTGATTATTCATTGAAGATTTTTAAGTGTCTTGAGAATCCAAATATAGTGTCTTGGACATCCCTTATATCGGGGCTTGTGCAGAATGGAAGAGAGGAAATTGCTTTGTCAAAGTTTAGGAAGATGATGCGTGATTCTGTAAATCCAAATTCTTTTACGTTGTCTAGTGTTATTCGGGCATGTTCAAGCCTTGCAATGCTGGAAGAAGGCAGACAAATGCAGGCATTAGTTACAAAGTTTGGACTAGATGGGGATAAATATGCTGGAGCAGCACTTATTGATTTGTACGGGAAATGTGGAAGTCCAGAACCCGCAAGGTTGCTTTTTGATTCTTTAATAGAGGTTGATCTGATATCCATAAACTCTATGATGTATGGTTATGCCCAGAATGGTTTTGGACACGAAACACTTAAACTGTTCGACAAAATGAAAGATATGGGTCTTCGGCCAAATGATGTGACAATTTTGAGCGTTCTTTTGGCGTGCAACAATTCTGGGTTGGTTGAAGAAGGTTGCCAATTCTTCACCTCCATAAATAAGAACAAAAATGCTGTATTAACAAAAGATCACTATGCTTGCATGGTTGATTTGTTCGGAAGGGCTGGAAGACTTAAGGAGGCAGAAATATTAATAAAGCAGGCTGGGAACCCTGATGTGGTTCTGTGGAGGACACTCCTTAGTGCATGTAGGATTCATGGAGACGTGGAGGTCGCAGAAAGAATAAAAGACAGGGTGCTTGAGCTTGCACCAGAGGATGAGGGAACTCATATTTTGTTGTG